AGTAGGGACCGGTTAAGTGGTTTGTCCATCTTTAACTTGTGCACGCCTCAAAAAATCATATCAACCCTGAAGTTAACAGTCAGATAAATAGTAGGGACCGGTTAAGTGGTTTGTCCATCTTTAACTTGTGCACACCTCAAACAATCAAATCAACCCTGAAGTTAACAGTCAGACAAACCTTCAATGTTCTTAAAAGTACTTCAATTTCTTACCAATTGAGCTAATACCGTTAGAAAAACAATTTGTCGCAATATGTAGATTAAAGATTCATTCATCGATCCTTCTCATACGTTACAAACCAACCTTTCAAAGCGCCAACATATCGACTCTCTTGATGTAATATCGAACCAAAACATAAAATTCGGCATTGTCAAAGGTCACTTTACAGAATCAAACAAACCGAAAACATATAGGAAAATACGTTATCAGCAACACAACTTCGTTCAATGATCATCACTAGAACGCACATTATCAGCAAAAGATTGAGCACGAGATAACTCATCGGGACTCCGTGAAGTAAACAAATTCGGATACGACATGAACCCATCATCCATCGATGGCAACCTCTGTGGCTGGTGAGGACTAAACAGCTGTGGAGGAGGACTCGAAGAATTGAAACCGCCTTCATGATCCTGTGCCGAGCTTTGCCTGTCAAGATTTGGAGTTTCGGGTGTCTCTGATCGATGGTTGTCTCCAGAAAACGGATTATCAGTGGACTCATCTTCGTTCTGTTTCCTGATGAGTTCACTGATTCGAAGCTGTGCAAGGCTTGCCGCTGTCCGAGCTACTGCTGCTGCCCGTTCAGCACTTTCTGCTGCCGCTTGTGCAGCGGCCAATACATCCTGCAAATCATCTGTGATGCCGGTTTTGGTTCTTGGAACTGGAAGTGGACTGCTTTCTTTCGCTTCATACTCGACAGCAGTTTTGGTTCCAGGAGGTGGTGGACCACTTTCTTTGACGACGACGGCAGCAGTGGCTGCTGGTGGAGACATGAACGGCAAAAACTGTTTCTCTTCCGTCGCTGATTTGTCCAACATTTTGTCAGGTTTATATGGGAAATCATCGTTGGATCCGAATCGAGTTTCTGATTCATTGTTGAGATCAGATAACGCAGATGCGGGAAACGGAAGCATTTCGGTTCTCAAGACAGTTTCCGACGGAACGGTAGGTTGTATTGATGAATTAGGAACCTCAGGTAAATCTAGCAGATCGTAATCAGCATCAGAGTCCGACTGTTCATCATGGGTTTGTTCCAAAGGGGTCCGAACCGATTCTTCGTGCTTTTCTTGTGGAAGAGGTATCGATGTACTGGAAAACTGTGAGGGCCCGTTCTGCAAGAACAAGAGCATATATTGTCGATTTGTAAATCTAATCAAGAATCATGGGTCAAACTTATAGAATCAAAAAATATCGTGCAATTTAGAAAGAAGGCTCTAATTTCGGAAATGGGGTATTAAAATATACGGTTAAATGGTTGTCGGATAAGATGGAAAATGTAGAATGCTAACCAGAAGATCTTCATGTGGCTTCAGCAATTCAGTTTCAGATGCTGTAGGATCCCAATCAAGCTCATGTTCCTCCGCGATTTCTTTCAACAGATTAAGTTTTACATCAGGAGATGGAGCACGAACAGATAGGTGTTCGATCAACTGTAACATCAAACGAAGAGAAATCAGGTATAACCGACATTTGGGCTTTCCTTTTTATCATTACCTTATGTTCTCCATTTTTCGATGGGACCCACAATCACATCTTAGTTTCTCCTCACAACATATAAATGAACCCGCAATCGCATTTTTTATATGAAGTACTTGCTACGGAATTTGATGTAGACGTAAGAAATTTCTCATGATTCTTGAAAATTTTGTACTCCCTTTGTCTTAAAAAGAAAGCAAAGAATGAAGCATTTCCCTTTTCTGCAAATTTTCAATCCAAGATTACCTCTTTACCCATTGGTAAACAAAACAAGATTACCTCTTCATCCATGAGTAATCAAGGGTAGTTAAGATATTTGACTAATAGTGAAACCCTCCTGGTAAACTATGTGCTAAGACGAATGTTGCATTTATTAACCAAGACCAAGGGAGTAACAGTTTTGAAGTTGAAAATTGACTTTGTTTTACCTCAGAAGTCAAAGTTGTTTCTTTTTTGAGGAACCAATAAAGTAAATAATTAAAAGTTTTAGTAACATCAACAATCCCTACAAATTAAATAAGTAAAAAATGATGTTTAATCACCTGACGATTAACACCACATTCTGGCATGAGTTCTGTGGCAGCAGCAACAAATTCTTTGCCATATTTAGCAGCAAAAGCCATCTGAACCTGAATTAGCTCAGGAAGATCTGCACATCTCGGAGCAGCAAAACACAGACTCGAAATTGCCTCTTTCAGGTCGAGAGGACATTCCCTTTATGTAGAAGATTCCAGAAATTTAGATCATCAGGTCAATATGAAAAGATTTTGTGTGTGTGTGTGTAAATTACCAAGATACAGAAACCACATAGATAAATTATACTGAAAGTCTAAGAACCAACCCAATAAAAGAAGTCCTCATAGTTTATACAGTCCCCAAAAATATACATGGACAATCAATAAATCAGAAATACGATAATGGAACTCGTCTAGCACATGAACATCCTCATTGTCTGCCCGAAACTCTCATTCATGTGGCCATCTATGGGTACTTATTTTTTGAGCATCAAGAGACAGTTGGCTTAATTACAAATAGTCAAAATTCGTACTAAAAACAAAGTATGCAATCAATATGCAGAACTGGTCAATATGCTTCAAAGCTTCAAATCTAACTACACATAATAATGAGATAATGTGTGTGAATGGCTTCGGTCTTCGGAGGCCGTAGCAAAATAACATTATTTCATATGGTCTTACTAAGTTTTGTTCTTTCACATGGGTCATAAAAATCCTATTCCGTTTTAGACATCAAGTGAAGGATTCTGATCAACAACCATGGAAAGACTGGAACATCCTCCCTACGGAGAATACTCATTTCACCCTTAATGACTTCAATTATTACGTCTTTTGGGTACAAAAAATATTGCATCAAATACCGCTCACTTTTTGGTTATGATTTTAAACTAGCATGTTCTTTTCATTTTATATATACCTTATATTATTTACATTGAGAAAAGCTTAATGTCCATTTTACTTGATATTAATTTCAAGAATTATTAAAATCCATTGTACAGTTAGTATTGCACATTGCACAATTGCTTATATTAATCCATCTTCTCCCATCCCTATCCCTACCACTACCACTTGCCGGCCCCCTCATCCATCAAGTCCACTTATTGAATTTTGCCTATTAGTTGTCTCGTTAAATTTATTAATATATCCATCAGTCGAATGCCAATAAAATGTAGTTAAATTTATAGTAGCAGAGATACCTTCTTTTCCTCTAACCCAATCTTACACCATCCATTTTTTGATCTAACAGCCTAAGAGAGGCACTATGCAAGATAACAGGTCCCACATGAATCATCATTTGCTAAATGGATGTAATAACCCTACCTATTTTTTTGAAATATATTACCACTCAACCATGCAGGTCAAAGTACCCGACATATGGATTGGAGAAGGACATATGTGAGATCTTGACGCATAAGTAATAATTAAAATTTTAAGTTTTTAGAGGGCAACCATCCTTTCAGATTCAGTGCAGGGCCTTTGTTGACCCTGAATAAGAAGTTGGAACATATTTAACTGGTTTCTTTTTGGTGGTTTCTCTCTTTTACATAAAAAAAGCAGGGTTATATTCAGCATCTATTCCTTCTTCAGAGCATTGTAAGCTCATTATACCTTTACTTCCAAGCTCCTTCAAACAATTCTAGGAAATATTTGTTAGTGTTGTTTTAAAACCTGATTCACAAATAATACATTATGCAAGCTGCTAACATGCAGGTAACATCTTTGTTTGATTACTACTGTTGCTTCTTTATTATGCTCATGAGTCATGTAGACAATGTATTCCATCCAAAGTTCCAAGGATATTGACTCATTTTATTTTTAACGATCAATCAAATCGTTAATAAAACTTGACCCTTGAACAGAAAAGTCCACATCAATATGTCGGATATGGAGTGTTCTCAAACCCAAGCTCTATTGTCAGAGCACACACTTCATTAATCATTGCATTGGTTGAACCTTGGAGACTGAAAACAAATATGTTCCAACAAAGATATCGTGAAACCACCATCTCTGTAGAGAATTATGCATCCATTCTAGGTCTACCAAATTTGTTTTTGCTAAAACCACCAAAATCCTGAAAGCAAATGTAGGCTTTAGGGATAAGTTGTGGATTGAGCCGACTTGCAAAATACCTATGTCCGGCAGGGAACTCGTTACATGTATCTCAAGAACAAGTGATACAAGAGGGTATTACAACAACCATGTATCCTAGTCGAGCAAGAACTTGATGATCTATGCACCAAAGCATTATCAAGAGACTTCATTCAGAGCACTACTAGACAAATGGATGAAAGCATTGATGATAGACTGATAGTTAAACCTAACTACAGGAGGATCCTAATCTAGACTTAATTCAGTGTACTACTAAAGAAATGACAAATGTAACTGCAATGATGATAGCTAAACCTAACTTTACGAGAAACCTAGTCCTTAAATTCTAATGGACAAGAACAAGTTATCATGATGATTGTTTTCATACTGCCTATTTCAGTCAATGATAACATACAAAGTAGTATTGTATGTTACAAATATAAGAGGACAGGGTTAGTCTGTCGATCAAGTTATGACATGTTTGAAGCAATAATAATAATAAGGGTTTTTATTTACTCATGGATGGTTGATGAACCTAGAAGTAGCACACAATTTTAAAATTGCTAACACAAATTCACTAAGAACCACTATTTGTGGGCATGAGATAACACTGACCCACATCATATACACATGTTGGACAATCATACAATCCCCTTTTATTCCGACCAGGCCTAGAGAGAATTTCACTGCTATGTGATTTTAATCAAAACATGCACTTTGCACAAGAAGGATATGAAGACATACCAAAATTTGGTTATCCAACCATATGGAGGTTGTACATCTCTTTTAAGTGATTAAAGATCACTAACAAACAAGGATGCCATGAGGTTTACAAGTTATGCAAGAGAACGTATTTGAGGATCCTTAAATACAACTTGAAGGGCCAAGTGTTGTTTAGAAAACCAGTTTGGTTTTGCGGTTTTGCCCTTAGAAAAAGAGGAGTGAAAGTTTATGAGCATCGGCCACAACAAGTGTAACATACGAAGTTTCAACATATCCCCATGCTAAAAGCCTTAGATACCTATGTAGTGGGATGGGATGCATGGCTTCATAGCTTCACAAGCCTTAAAACTTAAATTACCTTCATGTCGGAAGGGTGGCAGGCATACCCCTATGCTATGTTGGGCAACCTAACATTGAGATATGTTAACCCAATGAAGGGTGAGAATCTGTCTCCAAAGTTACCACCAAAGCTTCTTCAACTAGCTAGTTTTCAAACTAACATTTTAAACGTTTAGGGTCATATCATCTAGGAGTGTTACTTATGAACAACTATTTACAACTGAAAACAGAGAACTTCATGGAACACACATCAAACACTAAATATTCTTGTTTAGAGTTACAGTTTTCCCCATAATCTTAATTACATTCCCCTCTATATCAAGTAGGATTAAATCCTCTATTACCAAGCAACTCCCTCCAATTCTCAAAGAAGAATTTTTGGATATGTTCTTGCAAAACACATCATCTAGTGACTTGTATCAAGGGAAGATTATTGGTCTGCCATAGAAAATACTACCTTGTAGTAGGGTACAAATATGGCGTCAAAGAAAACATTTATTTCATGTGCCTTGCATCTTCAAGTTTCATGTGACTCCTACCTCCAGAACAACTTATTTTTATATGCAGGAAACCGTTAACAATCCCAAAATAAAAAGGGACTACATGAGAAACTACGAATTTCATTCATTACAGATAATACCTAGAACCCAGATTATATGATACTTGCCTTCATACTTAACAAAAAAAAGGCGTGTCTATTTTGAGAACGACTAGTCCTGCATGCCATGTAATGCTCCATCATGCAACGTCGAAGTTAAGCATATGTATATTTATTACTCCTATTAACTCTCGATTCTATTAGATCGCTCTTAATCTTAAACTAGATGGAAGTTTTTTGGCATAAACAATTCTCCTGCCCATTCTATTAACTGTTTTCAGCATTCAAATCCTCCTGTAATGACTTCCATACCAATATTCATGAAAGAATCCCTAAGACCCTACCAGAAGGCTAAATTATAGTAGAAAAAGAAATGATTAAGAATCTGAAGTAAACAATGAATAGAGAATTTTTATAACAGACCTTTGAGCTTCAATAATTGGAAGACGAACAACTACAAGCTCGCAAAATAACTCAATGATTTCTTGCGCTGCCATCATTTTTTCTTCCCTTATGATATGCTCCACCTAAATAAGATATATTAACCAAAGGTCAATGAAAGCCTACAAGGAAACAAATTACCAGATGAAATAAAGCAAACCTAATGCTCTTTTCTCTTTTGGAAGCAACTAGATCAATGATAAATAATATCAATACGAATATACAACGGGAAAATACCCTGATTCGAGCAGTGGCTTCTTGACCAGTCTCAAGAAGTTTGGCAATGTCACGACGCATCTGCTTTATATGAATTTCTCTACGATTCCTCAGGAGTTTTATGCGCGGTATCGTCAGTTTCAGAAGTGTTTTACTGTTTCCAACAATTTGCAACCAAAAGTTACTTAACATCAAGATGGACCAAAACCAAAAAACAATAGAAAAGTCATTTCCTATTCAAGAAAAATCAATTTTTGAGTCCGTAGGTCACGTTAGACTGAATATCATCCATCCATACAACAAAACTGAACTTCAATTTCAGTACTACGACGATATTAAAGAACATTTCAGTGCAATCAACAGAAATAAGAGAAATCCAGATGAAAACAGTTGCTAAAAACAGAAATTATAGACCAACTGGATAAATTTTCAAGAAACTTCGGAAGATATTAAATACCATTTAGAACCCTTGAAAGACCCTTTGCTGAAGAAAGAATCAAGCATCGACATCTTGAATTCGCCCGGATCGCAATCCTAATAAACCCTGATCTTCCGATCACAGTTATCTATCTGCAGTGAATCGTCTGATTAAGAATCCATAACAAAAATTGATCAATTCACAAATATGATTTACTAGTACTATCTGTTGTACACACACACCTACTCCACTACGAACGAATTATACGCGTTTATATATAGATATCGCATCAGCTAACATGGAATTAGGTTTGCTTACTTAATATGGAAGAATTCGTTACCTTCTTCGCAAATTCCAGCCAAGACTTTGACGGTGAATATGGATTTGGGGATTTCTTGTGATAACTTTTGGATTTTTTCGATTTTTCACCATGAAACTTGATTTGAAGGAGAAACCTGTCGACACGATCTTATACTTTTTACTTAGAATATTTACACTTACACCCCCTCATCTTTGATAAACAATCCAATCCACCCTCAAAAATGGGTGGATGTTAAACAATCCGCACAAACTGTACCGCACCATATTACATCAAATCGTGCGCTTTTAACTTTTACGACACCGTTTATGATTTATATATTTTTTTCCATGTGGTTTCGTTTGTGGTTTTGAATTACAAAACCGTTGTTCAAACCACATGCATTTTTATAATTTTTATCGAAAAAATTGTTTACGATTATAAAATAAGTTATGACGTGTATATTAATTTTTATACGATCACAAAACTATGTATCTGTACTTGATTGTGTCGAAAAGTTTTGATTACGTTATCATTGATGCAATTAATTGAATATTTAAATAGGTATTGAGTACGGACAGTATCAAGTCACACCACACGACATTTATTAATGTAGGGTATTTTGTAATTTAAGTCGTATGGAATTTGGTTTGTAGTTTGAAAAAATCTTAATGTGGTTAGGTTTTGTAGTCACCACAGACATCTTTGATGTATAGATTCATGTTTAAGTTAATTATAACGGTTGGATCATAATGATCAGTTTCAAGTGTTTAGATAGCTTGATTTTTATCCTTATTTTTAATTGTTTTGGTTAAGATAACCAGTCTGTCAACAATCATATAAGAAAGTATTGTAAAAAACCTGATTTTCGAAATAAATATATAATTATATATCTTTAATTTTATATTATTAAGTATCTGCATCTGAATTTTTAAATCACTTTGAAAATTAATCTGAACACCCTATAAGACTCACTATGCTCACAACAAAATGTTATTTACCACAAGAGTGGTGCCTGATTAGTTTGAGTTTGAACTCCAAAGGTCAAAAGTAGCAGGAGGTTTCAGGTTCAAATCGAAAGAGAAATAAACATTCCCGTGTGACCACAGAGATTCAAATACGGTGACTCCGAGCTACCCGCAAAGCAAGTGGGGATTAGTCGGCTCACATAACGAGTTTGATATCCAGGTTAACAAAAAAAAGGTTATTTTTGTTTAAACAAAATATTCCTTATATTGTCTTTGTTACTTATGACATAATATTACTGCTTTTGCCCATAACTATAGTTAATTACAAACTAGTCCCTAGACATTTGTTAAATCTTGATGGTTTGTTTTACCTTGCCTTAACACCTAAGCAAAATGGTTGGTTTTCAAAAATAGAGCATTGGAAGGAAGAAAAAGAAGATCCAAAGTTTCATTAGAATGAGTTATAAAAAAAAATGTTTGTGACAATTATTTATAAAAATAAATTCTTCTTCTGTGATTCTTATAATTTATGAGATATAATATAAACCATAAAATTATAATAAATTAAAAAATTATTAATTTTTATAATTTTGAATTAAAAAATCAAATAAAAGGTATTATAGGTATTTGTAAATTTCCTCTCTTCTATCTCCCACCTCTCCTTCGGTCCCACCACGTTTGACCACCACCATCTCAATTTTTGTATAACCCTATGATAAATAAATATAGTGAGCATATTGTGGTCATCATTGAGCCAAATTTTGTACAACCCTATGATATGTAAATATTGTGAACACAGTGTTCATACCATACATTGTCCATAGTATGTACACTTTACAAGTGGTGGTTTTGTGGTGTGATGACAATGTGCACAGTATGCACACCACACATTGTGCACAATAATGTCGTCATTGGATGATGGTTGTCGAGAGATGTAGCAAACAAATAAAATGAGAGAGAAAAGTAGAGAATTCATTTGAAGTATCTAAAGAAAATTCCCTCATGTTCTTCTTCAATCCAAAAACCTCCCTTGTTAAAGTCTGTGATCTTGAATTAATCAAGAACAATAACAGATGATTGCTATTAGATAAAAATTCGTTAAAATAGGGTTGAAGAAGTAGAAATCAAGAAACCAAAAAACTTGATCTGTATAAAATCAAAACCTGCAAAATAAAAAGGAAGGTGGGTGGCGGCCGGTGAAATTAAGGTTAGGAGGGAAGGGAAAAAGAAGGGGAGGGGTGGGGAGGATTCATGTTCTCTGTTTAGGGTTAGTTATTAGGTGATAAGAATAGGGGAAACTGCATGAAAATGTAATGCACTTTGTTCTGATTCCTATTTTGAACAGTGTACTTTAAAAACCTTTATATTGGTATCTGAGATGTAAAATCTCAAACATTTAAGTACATGAATAACCAATTTAACCATTAATTGGTTACAATGCTAACGTGGCAAATGACATGTCATACAACTTTTTATTATTTGTTGATGTGGATATTGACATGGATCTTTAATAATACAATTATTTTTTTATTGAAGTTCTCATTTACTTTTAGAACCTGTATATTAATATCTGAGATATAAAAACTCAAACATTTAAATACCTAAGTAACCAATTTAACCATTAATTGGTTATCATGCTGACATGACAAATGACATGTCATATAACTCTTTATTATTTGTTGATATGGATATTGACATGGAACTTTTTTTAATACAATTAGTTTTTAATTCTTTATTAGAGTTTTCATTTGAAAAAAAACAAATCAGTAACTCTTATTCAAACCCTAACTTATATTCCACATCTTCCACTTCCTTTAGTCTTCTCAATCCCCAACGTCCCCTTCACCATCATCCTCTTCATCTTATAATTCAACTGGTGGTGGTGGTGGTGTTGGTGCATTAAGAAGTTGCACCTCTGCATATCAGGTTGTCATTAAGAGATCTATGAAATGCATGCATTAAGGAGCAGTATCTTGTGCTTAATATATTGTAGTTAAGAGTTTTGGTTCGAATGCTTTATAAGATGGTATAAATGCATATATACTCATACGTGTTGTTAGGTTTGACTTGGTATTTTTTTTCTTTTGTTTTCTTCTGATAATTTATAGGTCGTTGGAGTAGTGGAGTTGGCAGACCTACTCTTCCTGCGTAACTAACTCCTTAGTCGTAGGAATTTCCTTTTTTGTTTTTTATTTGTATGGTTATTTAAAGAGCCCAAGTCTTTGAATAAATCATCCAGTACTTGCAACTATTGTGTTTTGTGTGTGCTTTCAATCGAAGTCCAACAAATCAGTATCAGAGCCAAATTCACAGAGGCCTGACCAGTAAGCAAAGTGAGGGAGGAGATACACGAAAGAAAGAGAGTAAGGAATTTAAGAGAGATGGTAGAGGTAAACAACCTTGCTCAAGCATGTGTCCCCAAGTTTGATGGAGACTATGATCACTGGAGTCTCCTCATGGAGAATTTATTAAGGTCTAAAGAATATTTGTGTGTGATCAATACCAGTCTTCCTGATATTGAAGAGGGACTAACTACAACAGAAAATAAAACTTTAGAAGAAACGAGGCTGAAGGATCTCAAGGCGCATAACTATCTCTTCAGTTCAATTGACGAGACTATTTTGAAGACGATCACAGAAAAGGAGACGGCCAAGCAGTTGTGGGACTCGATGAGGATCAAGTATAAAGGGAATGCAAGGGTTTAACGTGCTCAACTCCAAACGTTGTGCATAAACTTCGAGCTGTTAGAGATAAAGTGCGGGGATCGGTGACTGATTATTTTGGCAGAGTTATGGTCATGGCAAACGATATGCAGAACTGTGGTGAGGACATGCCTAATGTTAAAATTGTAGAAAAAATTATTCGTACCTTACCGGAGAACTATAACTACATTGTATATTCAATTGAAGAATCCAAAGACATCGACAGTCTCTCAGTGGATGCGTTGCAAAGCTCACTGCTGGTTCATGAACAAAAGTGCAAGAAAAACTTGAATGGTGGTGACGAACAAGTATTGAAAGTATCTACAACACATGGAGACCGAGCATACGACTGAGGATACACGGCTAGATGTTTTGTTATGCGCGAAAAAGGAAGAAGCCGAGGAAGGTCTATAAATAGAGCAATTGTTGAATGTTATCGGTGTCATCAACTTGACACTTTATATCTGAATGTCCTGAATGGAACAACAAGGCACATTACAAGAAGATAGCGGAGATCGATGATGAGGAGGAGATGTTGTTGATGGAAATTGTGGAGACAAGTAGGGTCATGAAGAAGGAAACATGGTTTTTGGATTCCGGGTGCAGCAACCATATGTGTGGGAGTAAGGTATGGTTTACAAACTTAGACGAAGAGTTCCGATATTTGGTGAAGCTTGGGAATGACAACATATTGGAGGTTACGGGGAAAGGTAACGTCCATTTTAAAATAAATGGATGCACTCAGGTTGTTACAAACATCTACTATGTGCTAGATCCAAAAAAACAACCTTCTAAATTTTGATCAACTTCAAGAAAAGGGTATAAATATCCTTATCCAAAATAACATATGTAAGTTGTTCCACCCTCGGAGAGGCCTGATTATGCAATCAACAATGTCTAGCAATCGCATGTTTCCATTATCTGTTGAAGTGGGTGCTGAAAATGCAAATGTCGATTGCCTACAAGTGTCAGCTGATGATGAAATCAAAATATGGCATCGAAGATATGATCATTTGAGTTACAAGGGGTTAAGAACTTTGAAGTATCAAAACATGGTACGCGACATACCAGATTTGAAGGGAAAACTAGAGACATGCACAAGCTTCCTGGTAGGAAAACGATTCAGACAGCCAAGCCTGAAGAAAAGTTTATGGCGTGCATCAAATAAACTACAACTCGTCCATTCAGACTTGTGTGGACCAAGCACACAAGTTTCAAGCAACAACAGAAGGTTTCAAACATCAACAGAAGGTATGTGGTCACATTTATAGATGATCTCAACATGAAATTGTGGGTCTATTTGTTGTCGAGCAAATATAAAACTTTAGCCCACTTTAAGATACTCAAAGCCCATGTTGAAAATGAGTGTGGTTTGGATCTACTATGTTTGCGTATTGCCAGAGGGGGTGAATTTACCTCCAACGACTTTGAATCTTTTTGTAGGGAAACTGGTATCAACAGGAACTCACAGTCACATTCACACCCCGATAGAATGGGGTGGCCGAATGATAAAATCGTATCGTGATGAATATGGTTTGTAGTATTTTAGATGACAAAAAAAAAGGTTCCTAAAAGCTACTGGCCAGAAGCTGTCAAATGGACCACACATGTGTTGAACAGAAGCCCATCAACCTATTTGTAAGGCAAGACACGCGAGGAGATGTGGAGTGGAGCGAAGCCTAATGTAGATTATTTTCGAGTTTTTGGTTGCTTGGCTCATGTCCATGTTCCTGATTAGAAAAGGCATAAACTAGATGATAAGAGCATCAATTGTGTGCTACTTGGAGTAAGCAATGAATCCAAAGCGTATCGTTTGTACAACCCAACAACAAATAAAGTGATCGTAAGTCGTGATGTCGTTTTCGAAGAAAACAAGGGCTGGAACTGGGGGAGTACAAACAATAAAAAAAACGCTAGCTTGGGAAGAAAGTGAAGGTGAAAAAGAAAGTGAATGTGATAAAAAAAAAGTTGCGAGTCATGTTGAAGAAAATGAAACCAGTAACAGTACCGACTTTGAAGAAGCTGATGACCGATTAGGACTGCCTACCCGTATTTGATCCTAAATTTTTGGCCAATGGCCGATTAAGGCCTAGTCCATTCTTTTTTTGGTCCTGTCCTTTTTTCCCGCTAAAAAGGGTCGGTCGGTCCTTGTACATCTCTAGTCCTAATTATTTAAAAATACCATGTAGTATTTGATATTCATACGAGATTGATTTGATAAGACGTAACTGAACAGTACTGAACTAAATAGAATAAATTGTCTGTCTAATATTTAGCACTATTAAGATTGGACATGATACATGACGGTTATTTCACTTGGATATTACTTATTTATTTAATTATTGTACAAATAACTTAGATACTCTAAATGCATTAAAATTAAGCACATGAAATGATAACATTGTTTAAAGTTCATCAAACATAAAATACATAAACATTCTTTATAAATCTTCAGGATTTTTTATGTGTCTTCAATTAGTCATTAAGTAACTGTCATGGATTGATGACATTGTTAAATATTAGCTTCTTTCTTTGTCGACTATACCATTGTCGACGTTAGTCAGTTCAAGATTGAGTCTTTGTATGTCTTAATTATGAAGTGTATTCAAGAAAGTCTTAAACACAACCGAAATTGCATCAAGTACTGCTCTTTTATGTACAAAGTCTTAAATCTCTTAATTACAACTTCACGAGCTTGATGTACAGCTTATGAATGCAAAACTCAAATGTATCTCCTTAAGATACATTCCCCAAAGCCCATATGACAATTCACATACATCCATCTTCCCATACGACGATTCACACAAATCCACCTTCCCGTACAACGCTTTGGTCTCCCAAAGTATCATATAACTACACGGTTAGGGTTCTTTGCTCTTCAATTTTTTCTTTCATCTCAATCTTTCTCCGGATTCGATCATCCATCACTCCAATGTCAGGCAAGGTTTTATCGATTTCAATCTCCCAATTTTGACCCTCTTCATCATTTTCTCCATCCAGTCTTCTCCAAATTGTTAGGTCTTTTGTTCTTTTGTGTTGTTATGAAAGTCAATTTAAATATATGACCGTCAATCATTGACTCTGTTATGTAGAATAAACTAAATGCATACCTCTAGATATTTTCCAAAACAACCCTTATTTGATTTGGTTGTTTGATTATTTCCACTTGACCCATCTTTGATCCCTTGATTACCTCCTTAACATTCTTGGTTTTGTTTTCCTCTGTTTTTTTCAGGTACCCTTTGTAAAAAATGCATTATATGTAAGTCAAGTTACTCATTTATAGCAGCATTGTCTTTCATACAAATCTTCCTAATCGCACGTGGGCTAGGCTTAGAGCGCGTGAAACTCATCACCATCTCGTAAGGGCGTTTGAATCATTTGAGCTATACATATAATATATGACCCTTGATCACATCACATTTAATCTCAAATCCATCCATGAATCGCACTTGATATGGGGATTGATCCGGTGCATCTCATCTTAATGTGCATCCAAGGATGGAGATCCCTTCTCACATTTCTCATCTTAACTCTCATTCTCACTAGAACCCAACCAATATATATATATATATATATATATATATGTGTGTGTGTGTGTGTGTGTGTGAGAATTCCAATGCATTGATTGAACCGTTTTCAAGGGTTGAGATCACGCACATTACCGGACTTATATATATCTTCCATGCAATCTAATGGATGAATTCGCCTTCATTCATGCTCTCTCAATTATGTCTAAGGAGGTGTTTGGGATTGCTTATAAAAACAATTTATTGACTTATTCTGGTGTGACACTGGTAATAAACATTTTTTAGTGTTTGGATAAACAACTTATACCGGTATCAAACCAGTAATAAGGAATTTTTGAATAAGTTAAACTCTTCTGACTTATAAGAAGTTGATAAGTGCTTTTGTACAAAAACATAAATTGTTTCAAATACGTAATCCAAACACCCCCTAAGTTGTATTTTCAAAGACATTCATGGTCTAATTATTCTTAATGCTTTTGTAAAATTAGATCCTCTATAATTTTCTATTTTTTATAATTATTTTGAATAAAATTTAACGAAAGAATTTACCTAAAATGTCACGCATTTTTTACGGTACCAAAATACGTCATTCTATTCGTCAAATAAATACTTAAAACACATAACATAATGAAAAGTTTGGATTAGGTCATATGCAAAGGTTATAACTAATTCGATTAGACTTAAGGCGTCGACAATTAGGCCTGTAAACGAACGCGAACGGAGGCTTGTTCGTGTTCGTTCGTTTAACTTAACCGAACAAATGAACGAACACGAACAATATTCTTTGCGTTCGTGTTCGTTCGTTTAAAAAATGGTTGTTTTCGTTTATGTTCGTTCTTTAAAATGTTAAACGAACATAAACATACGAAAACAACAAACATTGAAGAGACTTAATCGAACTAGAGCTCAAGCCATGAAGCTTAGTTGGTCCAAATTTATTTTCAAAACATAAGCTATAGAAAAGAAACCCAATTAAAAACTAAAAAAACATATATTTCGACACCAGTCGGATTCGAACCCCGCTCTCCATTGAAAGCAAGACTTTAGTCATGCTCCATAAACCAACTCCGCTAGCTTAAATTTATGTTAGTGGCACTTCAAAAACTCAAAAACTTTTTTCTGCTATGACGGAGACATGAAGCTTTGGCCCGTGTCACCATATGCCCTTAAGTAGGTCTGTGCCTGCTTACGGTATCGGATCATCAGTAGGGCCTAGCCTCCATTACGGTTAAGAGTTCAAGATCACCAAAGGTGAGAAGTGTCTATGTAGATTGGACCAGGTTAAAACAGCATTCAATTATAGCACATTTCCTATTGGAGTTGCATAACTAGACTTAGATCACATCCAAACCCAAATGAGAAAAGAAAACAACAGCAATCATTACAAAAGTAAGAAGATTAATCACCTGAACTTGGAATTCAAATTCAAATTCAAGATCTTTTGGTAAATTGGTCATACAAATCATCAGGAATTGCTTCTTTATGCCTCTCCACAACCTGCTTTACAAAATTTATATCAGATAAGCACACAAATGAATGAAATTCGTAGCTTTTTATCCCTTTCTCTTCCAAGGCCTTGAACACTTGGTACCTTGGCTTCACCCTTTTCTCCAAACTATACATCAAAAGACTGCCACGGGTGGCCAACCACAGCGGCGAACAACCAACTTCCGCCATGAAGAAACTCATCCCTTTACTTAGTCTCTCCTCAGAATGTGTAAAACAGAATGGTTGACTCTTGGCAATGGTGTAAATATCCGAATCGCACCATCCAAAGCTCTTAAACAACTCAAATTTCTTCTGCAGAGTCGACTTCTTCTGTGAACAAATAGCCAAAAATCCCGTAAGAAAACATGGATGAACCTCGCATAATACCGAATTCCTTTTCAACTTGAACAAGTTTCTCTTCTAGCCTACCAGGATTCTGATTAACCACTCTAGGGTCCCTAAGTATAACCCTTTCAAGATCCTTACCCGAAACCCCAAATTTTGCCATTAACACCACATTAGTTCTAAAGGATTTCCCATAAAAAGGCCAATGTGATCGTTCAATAGCCTTTAAGATTTTCTCGTTAGTGCCCAATATTTTCCTCAAAAGCCTAATAGCAGGCATAATAGATGTATGCAGACCTCTCGCCAAGAGATTGGGATCCCTTTTGATAATCGAAACGAGATTCGACCCGGAAAACCCAATTTCAGAAAGAATCTTAAATTTGGGTTCTAGAGTTTTGTCAACTTTGCGCAATAGGATGCTGGGTTGAGTGAGAACTATGGATTTAACATCATTTTCGGATAGATTATAGTTCCTAAGGAAATCGATGACAGATTGAGAGTTTTTGGTGGACTTCAAGTGACGCATCTTCGTAGTGGCGGAGATGGCTTCTTGTTTGGAGAATCCGAGGGAATCGATGAGGAAATCCACCATGAAATGGGGTTGAAGATCAGAGGATGGAGATGTGGTTGAGCAGTGAAGCAGACGAAGGAAGAAGGACGATGAATCGACGAGAAATGCTCTGGAAATTTGGCCATGGCTGCTGCTAACAGAGAGCATCTGTTGAGACGAGCCCTGAAACGATGGAACACACTCCGCACCACGGAATCCGGTTTGTTTGTTCGAATGGCAACAAAACCAACCGGTTGGACCGGTTTTAAGTATAAACTCGGCGCATGCACCGAATCAATTATCACTCGTTTGACGGTTTATACCGTTTGTAAGCTTTCAAAAAATTTATTAATTACAAATTATGATGCATTCGATACATGTTTCTAATGCTTGGTTTTACCTTTACCACCACCGCTAGCAAAGAGAGATTGTTCATCTTAAGTAGGGGTGTTCAAAAAAACCGTTGGACCGTTTAAACCGGCTGAACCAAGTCAAACCGGACCGTTTTTGGCGGTTTGAGCAGTCTGGCGATTTGGTTTGGTTTGGAAAATAGTAAAACCGGACGGTCCGGTCTGGTCTGCGGTTTGGAACCTTTTTTGGGCGGTTTGGACCAAACCGACCGCCAAATATGTGTGTGTGTGTGTGTATATATATATATATATACATACATACATTATTTAATTATTTATTTTAATATTAGCAAGCCCAATTTTTTTAACTTATGGATTATGGTTCAAATATATATCTAAGTCCAACATAAAGTTTAACATCTAACATAATCAAAATGGATATTTAATCTAAAATTGTAAATTATATATGTTTTTTTTAAGTTTAAAATTTAAAGTCCATTAAAGGCCTAAACCGGTCAGACCAGACCACCTTTTCGTGGTCTGGTTAGACCGGTCTGGACACTTGATGTCAAACCGCTCGGTTTGAAAATTTTATAAACCGCCATTACGGTTTGGTTTATAGTCTGAGAGGTTAAACCGCCCAAACCGGACCGCGAACACCCCTAATCTTAAGGGGTTGTTTATTTACCTCTTAATAGTTTTATTAAGAGGCAATCTCTAAATCGTTAAGAGATAAATCTTGTTTGACAAAAAAAAAAAAATTTGTCTTTTAATGGTTCTAAAACTCTCTGAATGATTTTGTATCTTGGGTCTCCCTTAACCATTAAGAGTCATAATTTCATTGTAAACAATTTTATTTCATTTTGCACTATATCATGAGAGCCTCTTAATCATTCTGAACACTTAATGATTATGCACAAAACCATTCAACAATTGTCAAACAACCCCTAAAACCTAATTTCAGCTCCCCTTATTCGAAAAGTCTTGACCCAATTTCAAATTCAATCAAAACCTCAGTATATCAGCCTCATCGTTAGTTCAGATTCAAATCTCTCAACATACTCTCACACAGTTTTTCGGATTGCTTTGCATCTCTTACGACCGATCAAAATATTCAACAAACAACTGATGATAATTATGGACAAACAGGTGACTAAAACTATAATCCCTCCATTTTCTTTATCTTTTTCCTTGTGAATTATGAGGCTCGTATTCTATCCTAGTTTCAAAGGCTTCATCACCCCAAAGTGGTTCAAATTTATCAATGAAATCTTAGTCTAATTGCACCCAAACCACAACCATCACTCAAACCATTAGCATCATTTAAACCATTGCCTTCACCCATTGTAGTAATAGTTGCTTCTTGCATCTACTAGTACAAACATTTGTAGGTTCTACTAAAGACTCGTCAGAGAGTTACTCAATTCTAAGGTAGCGTTTCGTTTTTAAGATGTGCTGAAGTCTGAAGTTTTATTTTACTTCTGATTGATAAAAAGTGATACTGAAATCTGAATCAATAAGACTGTTTGTTTTCGTAAACTAACATATGTCTAAAATCCGATCGTTAGAAATTTACTACATGATGTTTTAAAATATTAAAAAATAAAAATGACAAAAACTTTTAAAAACCATTTCTTATGCATGAAGTACTGTTTATTGATACATATTACTTAAAATTTAAGATTACAAGTAAATTGTGCATAAGTACAACTTATTAAAGCTCCGTATTTGAATTCTTGTAACTAACTGCAGATAAACATAATCAAATATTGGATAAACATTTCATTTTAAATATAAAAAATCTAAAATATTATTAGGATAATTATTAAGTTCTAACATAATACTTAGTTATCATCTTTATAAAAAAATTATATTATTAAACCTAAATTAAATTTGTTTCTTACTAAACCTAAATTAAATTATAATTAAAAAAATTGAACTAAGAAATTTACACCAAGACACAAGAATTTTTAAAAAGATTAATTTGATACTGATATCGATATCGATATATTTTTTTTCAAAATTTTATGATATTTTCAAATTTATATTTTATTCAAAAATAAAAATATCATCATCTTCTCAAACCACATAAAACCGTATTATATCGACATAAAAAATGGATAAAACGGAACATTGAAATCAAGATGTGTCTCGATGCACTGCATGAGTATCTTTCTAATAAAAATTAAAAAAAAAAACTTTTAAATTTTTTGTCTTATCAATTGATTTAACTAAAATGTGACCAAATTATTTAATTCTTTATAAAACTAGAAAATAATAAATTAAAATTGAAAATTTAGTACCATAAAAGAAATTATTGTTTTTGTAAAACAACTTAAAACAAAAATAATATATGGTAAAAAAAATGCCAATAATTGATTGATGGACCCAAGTAATTGATGGAGGCCTAAGAGAATAAGAGACATTTAAGAATCTAGGCAATAATTTTTTTTATTCAAATCATATTAAAAGATAAGAGGTTTTAAAAAAAACAGTTTGAATTATAAAACGTCTGATCAAATCAGACATAAAAGGTAATCAAAAGAAGAAAATGAAAAAAATTAAACAAGGCATAATTATAAAGTGCTTGGGGTAACATGAGATAGGTAAGATTGCTTAAATATAACATGAACATCCTTTATAATTCTTCAATGAGTCGTTAAGTAATTGTCTTCCAAAAAAAGAATCGTGTGAGAATAAGAGTTAAAATGAGAAACATAAAAAAAGATATGAATACTTGATCACTTTTAATCTCACCTCAATTCCATGAATTGCGCTTATATTGAGAATTGGTCCGGTGCATCTTTATGCACCACATTAGTATTGATCTCAAATTATGATTGATCTAAAAATAGAGATCCTTTTTTACCATTCTCAACATAATTTCGATTCTTATAGGAACCCAACCCTTGTCTTCGATTGGTGATTGGTGGCATTCTTACATATTAGCTTTCTTTACTGTCCACTTTGTTCGACCTTCGTCAGTTCAATACTGAGTTGTTGTATGTCTTACATTCGACCCATAATATTTTTTTAAACGATAACACCATTTGATCATAAAAGAAAACGACATAATGTTTTCAACAAAATCATTATAGCTTAGTTGGTTTGTTGTTTGTATTTCCAAAAAAAGACCGACTTCAATTTCTTACATATCCACCTCTGTTATTCCTTACCTCGGGACCAAATTGGTTATTGGGCAGTGCAAGTTAAAACAGGTGTACCTGAAATCCAAATCTATTTTCAAAACAGAAGCTATAGAAAAGAAACCCAATTAAACACTAAAAAACATAGATTTTTACACCGCTCAGATTCGAACCCCGCTCTCTATTGAAAGCGGGACTTTAGTCATGCTCCATAAACCATCTCAGCTAGCTTACGTTTTTGTTACCGGCACTTCAAGAACATTAATTTTTTGCGCTACGACAGATACACGAAGCTTTGACCCATGCCACCGTATGCCCTTAAGTAGGTTTACCTCCCCCCAACAGTATCCGGATTACCGGTAGAGCCTAGTCTCTATAGAGGTTAAGAGTTCAAGGATCACAAAAGGTGAGTATTGTGCATGATATTTACTGTATACAAATATTGTAGTAGTTATGGTGAATGACAGATGCATGCTGCCAACCCAGAAATGGGCAATTGAACCAGGTTAAAACAGTAAACAGCATTCAATTATACCACAGAGTTGCATAACTAGAATTAGCATCAATTACAACTTCAGTATGTAAGCAAATTTCAGCAATGCTATCATCTCCTATCAAAACCCAAATGAGAGAAGAAAACAACAACAATTATTACAAAACTGTGAAGATGAATCTCACAATTTAGAATTCAAATTCAAGATCTTTTGGTAAATTGGTCATACAAGTCATCAGGAATTGCTTCTTTATGCCTCTCCACAACCTGCTTCACAAAATCTGTATCAGATAGGCACAAAAATGAATGAAATTCCTTGCTTTTTACCCCTTTCTCTTCCAAGGCCTTAAACACTTGGTACCTTGGCTTCACCCTTTTCTCCAAACTATACATCAAAAGACTGCCACGAGTCGCCAACCATGATGGCGAACAACCAAGTTCCGCCATGAAGAAATTCAGCCCTTTACTTAACCTCTCCTCAGAATGTGTAAAACAGAGTGGTTGACTCTTGGCAATGGCGTAAATATCCGAATCACACCACCCGAAGCTCTTGAACAGCTCGAATTTCTTCTGCAAATTCGACTTATTCTGCGAACAAATAGCCGAAAGCCCGTAAGAAAACATGGATGAACCTCGCATAATACCAAATTCCTTTTCAACATCAACAAGTTTCTCTTCTAGCCTAGCAGGATTCTGATTAACCAATCTAGGGTTCCTAAGTATAACCCTTTCAAGATCCTTATCAGAAACCCCAAATTTTGCCATTAACACCACATTGGTTCTAAAGGATTTCCCATAAAAAGGCCAATGCGATCGTTTAATAACCTTTAAGATTTTCTCGTTAGTGCCCAAAATTTTCCTCAAAAGCCTAATAGCAGGCATAATAGATGTATGCAGACCTCTCACCAAGAGATTGGGATCCCTTTTGATAACCGATACCAAATCCGACCCGGAAAACCCGATTTCAGAAAGAATCTTAAATTTGGGTTCTAGGGTTTTATCAACTTTACGCAATAGAATGCTGGGTTGAGAGAGAACAATGGATTTGACATCAGTTTCGGATAAATTGTAGTTCCGAAGGAAATCGATGACAGATTGAGAGTTTTTGGTGGACTTCAAGTGAAGAATCTTTGTAGAGGTGCAGATGGCTTCTTGTTTGGAGAATCCGAGGGAATCGATGAGGTAATCCACCATGAAATGAGGTTGAAGATCATCGGGTGGTGATGTAGTTGAGCAGTGAAGGAGGCGGAGGAAGAAGGATGATGAATCGAGGAGAAATGCTTTGGAAATTTGGCCATGGCTGCTGCGAACAGAGAGCATCTGTTAATCCGAGCCCTAAAACGATTGAACGCTCTCCGGACGACGTAATCCGGTTTGTTTATTCAAAAGTAACAAAACCTACCGGCTGGACCGGTTAGAACGAGTTTGGCTCCCTGGACCGTCGTTCAAGCTTTCACATACAAAGGTACCACTCTCAATTACCTTATGAAGTAACATTTTTTGCCGTTAAAAAGAATTAACGGTAAACGTTTATAAATCATAACCCGATAAATATATTAGATAAGGGTCATCACCCTTACTTATCGAGTAAGGTTAGTGATCTTTACTTTCCCTCTTACCGAGTAAAGTTCTCAATTCTTATTATGTTCATCCAGTAAGGTAATTGAACCGGTAACTCGGTAAGTGTTTATCAAGGTAAGTGTTTGGTAAACGGTCCCTTAATACAAAATGTCGAGTTCGGATACTTTCCCCCCTGAGGCCATTCACCGATTCTAGTATATGGAGTGAGTGCTACTTATTTTATATGTATTTTTTTGTAAGATGATTTTTCATGTGAAATTCTTATACACCAGTACATTTTATTGTCTATATTACTAAGTACAATTGTTCATGCATGTTTTTATGTAACGTTATAAACCTGTTGGTTACGTTATCATAATAAAAAATCGCTGTATCGATTCAGTGAGATAACTCTACTTTGAAGGCTGGTTGAATTTAAAGCGACGTTTGTTTTTTAAGAGATGTTGAAGCCTAAAGTCTTATTTCAGTTTTGATTTATAAAAGGTGATGCTGAAGTCTGAAATCTGAATCAATAAAACCGTTTGTTTTTATAAACTGATAATCGTCTGAATTTGTATAAATTGTCTACTTACTCATTTAAAAACTATAATGTTGAATTTACATCCTATTAAAATATATTAATTGAGAGAGGTGAAGATTGATTTGGTATGGATCATTTGAGAGAAATAGTCGATTAAGGTCAACCAATTGAGAAACACCGTTGTTGAGGATTTGAAGAACAATAAAGACAAATAAAAGGTTGGTTTATCTCTTATTAGATAAGAGAAAAATAAAAATAAGTATCTCTAAAAAACTGAAGAAAAAAAAAACAGTCTGAATAACCTTATCTTTTAACAAATCAGACGTGAGAGACCGGTAAGAATTTTTTTATAAAAAAAACGTAATTATACTTTGATTGGAATTTTAGTCTCTTCTTCACTTATAAATAAAAAATATGTCCATCACAAATGTATCCTTTTCCTTCGTTCATGAAATCAACACATTTACAGGTGCGGAGGGAGAAATCAAATCAACCTCCAGCAATTGAATCACAATAACCGAAACAATACCAGATCCTTGTCGCAAAGCTGCAACAGCACCAACAATGGAACCTTTCTGCATCGCGATTTTTAGAATTTCATCATCTCACCATCTCACCATCTCAAGGTTCATGTAAATTACACTTACATGTGATGTGGTATCAAATGCATGAACTTCAAGAATTATATATGATTCATTTGCATCGCCATGATCGACGTATTTGAAACTTTATTACAACCAACTGAAAACAAATTCTTTGTTATACTGAATAAAAACAAGATGAATTTCGTCATATTTTGATGTGTTTTCAGAGATGTTATTCATAGACGAATTGGAATATCTTCGATCTCAAGCTGTGCAGCAATGTCTTCCAATTGCTTCTTCACACTCATATCAATCAGCTTCGATTGAGAATTTCCATATCTGATCGTGAATCCAGCCACCAATGATTCATCAATCGCCGTCTTAATCCTCACGTTTTTGGCTCCGGTGAACTTCTGCACCTGCTTCGCGATCTGCGCCAAGTGCTGTCTCTCCAGGTGCACTACCGATGTCACGATCGCCAGCTCCGTCCCCGTCAATTTGTTGTAAACAACCTCGAATTCCTTCACTATCTCTTTAATCAAATCGATCCGTTTGCTTTCAATCAGGATGTTCAGGAAGTTACAGACGTGTAATTGGAGGCTTCCCGACGCTGTTATATCGTCGATCAATTCTCGTTTCTGATCTAGGGTTACAATAGGACTGACGAAGAAGTTGAGGAAGGATTCATCGGAGAAGAGTTTATCGACCTTCTCGACGTCTGTGGCTGTTGCCTCTAGGGTTTTATTCGAGCTCGCAACCTCCGCTAGAGCAGTTGCATACCTTCCCGCCACGGAATCGGCCATTTTGGCCCCGGTACAACCTCCGCCGCGCCGAGATTTGTCTGTGATTTTGATGGTTAGTTTCGGGAGTCTTAGACGGCTGGAGAACGAAATATTTAGTGGATTAATGGAATTACTACGTAGAGATGAAGAGCGAAATGTGATCGGAGCAGCCTGAAGAGTGGCCGTGATGGCGGCGGCGGCCATCTTTACCGGCGAGAAGAGGGAGAAAGAGCGAGGCTTGTTTAGGAGTGGTACCGTTAATTAGGAGAGGGGTTTTTTTTATGGCAGCGGACGGTGGAGATTCAATAGCAGGGAGTGATCAACGGATGAAAAATTTCGTAGATTGTGAAGGAGGAGAAGACTAATAAAATACTTTAATCATTATATTTTTAATTTGATAATTGGACTTTGAAACCGATTATTATGAATTATTTTCGTTGAAAAATATATTTATACTAACATATTTAATCATTGTTCGGTAAACATCAGTTAGTTTATTTTTTGAATATAAGTTTGTTTAAGTTAGTTTATTGAAAAGATAATCGGAATAGTTTTTTGTCATTATTTTTTCAACTAGAAAGGGTATTCGCGCAATATATCGAGATATATTTAGATTTTAATGTTTCGTTCGGTTTCTATAGATGTTATAATACAATTTTTATGTAGTTTGGAGAAAAGAATAATGTTTTTATTTTTAAATAAAAAATAAATTTGAAAATATCATAAAATTTCAAAAATAAATATATCAATATTAGTATCAAATTAACTATTTAGAAGTTTTTGTTTTTTGTGTAATTTCCTTAATTATAATTTAATTTAAGTTTAATAATGAAATAATTTATTTTTGATTTAATAATATAACATTTTATAAAGATAATAATTAAGTATTCGGTTATAACTTAATGATTATCCTAATTATATTTTAGATTTTTTATATTTAAAATGAGATGTTTATTATGTATTTGATTATGTTTATCTGCAGTTAGTTACACGAATTCAAATGTGAAACTTTAATAAGTTGTAATTACGCATAATCTACTTGTAATCTTGAGTTTTAAGTAATATGCATTAATAAACAGTACTTTATGCATAAAAAGTGGTTTTAAAGAGTTTTTATCAAATGCTTTATAATATAGTATAGATAATTTAACTTAAATTTAATAATGAGATAATTTATTTTTGGTTTAATAATATAACATTTTATAAAGATACTAATTAAGTATTCTGTTAGAACTTAATGATTATCCTAATTATATTTTAGATTTTTTATATTTAAAATGAGAGGTTTATCCTGTATTTGATTATGTTTATCTGCAGTTAGTTACACAAATTCAGATATGAAGCTTTAATAAGTTGTACTTATGCATAATCTACTTGTAATCTTGAGTTTTAAATAATATGAATTAATAAACAGTACTTTATGCATAAAAAATGGTTTTTAAGAGTTTTTGTCAAATACTTTATAATATAACTAGAAGCGTACTCGCGCAATGCAGCGAGATACATCGTGTTTTTAATATTTCATTTTATTCTTTATCTCAGTCGATGTTATAATATGAATTTATGTTATTTTGAGAAAGCGATGAT